TCGTTAATGTCAAAAATCACCATACAACTGCTTTGGTACGTGCATTCTTCTTCATTCTCACTCTGGATGGGTTTTAATAGGGCGCGTCTCTTTATTTTCCCTTAGCTGAAGTGACCCAGCGATCGAGATATGTTACCTACCTTGTATCAGTATCTCATCTCGCGCACTCTCTGCCACCTTGAAGCACCCACCAATACAGACATACACTTTGAATCGCTATTTTGCTCACTTCCGCCAAGAATCTTATCCAAAGCTCGTCGTCAAAACCGCAATCTTATGAATAGATTCTCAACGACACTATAGAGAATGTGCGCCCATTCGGATAGCTGCCGAACCACAGCTTCAATCCGGGCCTGCCCCTTCAGGTCGATACAGTTGAGTTTCCACTACCTTGTCGCAAGATGACAGAGGAGACCAAAGGCGTAGGTATGCATTTCTCGGCGCATATCCACAGTCTGTTTGGTGCCCCCGAATTATGCCAAGAGCTATACATGTCATCAAGTCATCCGAGAATCTTATTAGTGGCAATGGAGTTGAGATCACCTGAAAGCCATATAAGCTCTTAGAAAGGAGACCTGAGATTGGTCAGATTTCTTATATGTAAGGGTACATGGCTTGCGGAAGAAGACCCATCATGCTATTTAAGTGATCGTATGTGTGTTGATTCATGGTCTGATGTCACGTGATTCGACGCAGCACGCCCATCCCGGATCTTCAACGGCAACTTCACATAGACATTTTAACGGATCTAGCAGACCTTGCCTTCATCATTCTCCTTTTTATTGACTCTCCTTTCATTCTTACTGACTGGTCGTTTCGGCTTTAATTTGCAGTGTTTTCGGAAGATCCAGCAAGTTCGTTGGGCATTAACACTATATGTCAACGAGTCATGATGGTTCTGAGAGACCCCATTTCATTACATAAGCGAGTGCTGGGTTGCTCTGACAACGACCCACACCCCTCCCCTGATTAACTTGTTATCCGTTATCAATAGGTAGTCAACACCAGACCACAACACTGAACTTCGGTCTAGAAGTTGCTTCATACCAATCTAGACATCGACAAACCCGACGCACAAACTCCAGCAACTCTTTACCTGGAGACGCGACGGCGAATCGCCGCAACAATACTAACCATGGCAGCCTCTGACGACCTTATCAACTTCGACGTGATCGAAGCGCAAAAAGAAAACATTCAAGCGCTGCCGAGCGGACGCTCTGCCAAAAAGCTGGCCGAACTCTTTTCGCCCTCTCCTCTGCACAAATTGGACACCCCAACACCATCTGACACCAAAAATGTCAACGACTGTATCAGAGCCGAGTACGAGGAGGAAATACGCAACATTTCCGAGTCGGACGACCCTCTCGATATCTTCGACCGCTATGTGCGCTGGACCCTCGATGCATACCCATCGGCGCAAGCCACACCGCAGTCTCAACTTCACACCCTACTAGAGCGCGCGACCAAGACATTTATCGGTTCATCGCAATACAAGAACGACCCTAGATATCTCAAGATGTGGGTGCTGTACATCCAGTTCTTCTCTGACTCGCCTCGGGAGACATTCCTCTTCCTGTCGCGCCACAATATCGGAGAGACACTAGCCCTTTTCTACGAAGAGTACGCAGCATGGCTCGAAGGTGCAGGCAGATGGAACCAGGCGGAGGAGGTTTACAAGCTTGGTATCGAGCGGGAAGCGAGACCCGTCCAGCGCTTGATTCGCAAGTTCAAGGAATTTGAGCAGAGGCTCGCCCAACAGCCAGACGCAGCCGAGGCGCCTTCATCACCAGCACTACCTACCGTTCGGCCTGCCCTGGCTGCCAAGGTTGACCCCTTTGCCGCTGCTCGCGCGGCTGCTACGGCGGATCCCCAGGCGCCTCGCCCCAGCCAAGGTGTCGGCGGTGCCGCGCCCAAGCCGGGTAAGGCCAAGATGTCCATCTTTTCAGACACTGACTCCGCGCCACCGGCACTGGCCTCGCGTGGGCCCACATCCAAGGGATGGGACAACATCGGCTCGTTGAGCGACCGGAAGAAGGAGAACGTGATGGAGCCCAAGCCGTGGGCGGGAGAGACGTTGAAGGCGGGAGGAAAGAAGAGCACTGCTCCGAAGATGGCCATCTTCAGGGATACGGTAAGCACCACTTTCGCTTAAGCCTCCCATTGCCCAGATGTTGATGATTATAGGACTAATGTATGGCTTTATGGCGTTTTTGTATTTCAGTCTCAGTTGCAATCAAAATCGCGACAGCAATCGCGATCATCGCGGGCACAAATGTCCAAGTCCCACATCACTCTTGTGCCATCAAAAAACCAAATAGTTGTGAACCCCGTCAGCGGGAAGAAGGAGCAGATCTTTGTCAGTCTCGAAGCTATTTACCCTACACCTGAGGAACCCGGCTCGGAGCTCGGTTTCGAAGAGGTTTGGGCCATGAATCGGGGCTGGCTGGATGTATCCTGGAATGACGAGCCACTGACAGAGGAGGCTGCGCCTGAGGTGATGGATGCGGAGCCTTCCATCGTCGATGACCTCGGTCAGAAGGTGCAGGAGAGACTGGTTGTCCATACAGAAATTGTCATGATGGATGAGAATGGCGCCATTATTAACAAGAAGGAGGGCAGAAGTAAAAAGAAGAAGGTCATGGAGGTCAACGAGACCCAAGTCAGTAAGTTAATGGCGCTGCGCCATACGCACCTTATCGTTGTTAACAAACCTGTAGTCAAAGCCAATCTGGACTCACCATCCAGGCCAAAGCTGAAGAAGAGAAACACGGCTGAGCCGACAATGACACTTCACACTCGAGCTGCAACTGACGAAATCTATGAGATTTTCAATCAGCCTATTCAGTCTAACCCTCAAGAAGAAGAGGAGGATGAAGAGGAGAGCGATGATGACGACGACTTTGAGACGGACGGCGACTACACAACTGACGCAGAAAGCACCATGATGACACGCCAGGTGGACATGGCTGAGGACGCCGACGAAGCAGACGAGGAAACCTCGGATGTGAAGAGCATCAGCGAGTGGTCCGATTTCTCTACCCGCAAGCATGTTCCGGTTCTCAACGAGGATGCAACACAGCCCGACATTGACAACACCCAAGTTTCTGATTTAATGGACCCGAATTACGCCGAGCAGACGGGTCCTGTTTCTGAGGAGCAAACAGAAGCCCAGTACGACGGCCAGTCTGGAGACGAAGAGGATGAGGAGGATGAGGACCAGGAAGACGAAGACTACCCGCCCAGAACCAAAACCATGTTCGTCCCGATACCACCAGAGGATTATGAGCCCAGAACAAGGCCGTATAGGGACCCGGTCGAGATGGCTAACAACCGACTCCCCTTCATGACACCGATCACGGAGAGAACTGAATCTTCGCTTGCGTTTACAGAACGCAAGGCGAAATACGAGACCCCGTGCCGCGACGATATGGAGTCTACCATTGACGAGGAAGAGCCTTACATGGAGGAGCCCGGGAGCAGCCCTTTGAGAGAGGTTCTGAGTGAAGTTCGGCCAGTGAAGATTGCCCAGCCTCTCCTCGGCAAGGCGAAATCTGCCTCGGCGAAGCCGGAACCTTTCAAGGGCCCCATCATCAAGGAGTTGCAATGCAACCCGGTCGACGAGTCCGTGAGAAGCGAGATCCTCGCCAAGATGCAGCCCTCGTTGGGCTCGTACCCCGGATTCTACGACCACAGAGACGAGAAGTACGAGAAGGGCAATGATATTCGTAAGTTTGCCAGAGCCATGACAAAGGCGGCCAAAGGTGGCTCGGACAGGATGAGCAACGCATGTGCTTTGGTCGCCATCGAGTTCCCCGACGTCGATACCCAATACACCATCCGGAAGGAGCTCGGCGCAGGTGCTTTTGCCCCTGTCTACCTTGTCGAGAACTCGTCTGCCGACCAGGAGGAAGAGGACGAGGATGGCGTTGTGGTCATGGGCAAGGGTGCATTTGCCGTCAATCACCGTAGCCCCTTGGAGGCGCTTAAGATGGAACTTCCCCCGACGCCGTGGGAGTTCCACATGATGCGTCTTGCCCACATACGTCTGGGTCCTCAGCACCGCGCTGCTGCCTCCATCTCGTACGCCCACGAGTTCCATCTCTACAAGGATGAAGGCTTCCTCTTCCTTCCCTACCACCCTCACGGGAGCCTTCTCGACGTCGTCAACTTCTTCCGCGCCGAGCCATCCGCCGTTATGGACGAGCAGCTGGCCATGTTCTTCACTATCGAGCTATTCCGTACCGTTGAGGCCCTGCATGCCCGCAGCGTCCTCCATGGCGACCTCAAGGTGGACAACTGTCTCCTCCGCTTGGACAGCGGCTCCGGCGACCAGCCGCTGTCGTCGCAGTACAGCGCCGATGGGACTGGCGGTTGGCACGCCCGGGGCGTGACCCTCATCGACTTCGGCCGCGGCATCGACATGCGCAACTTCGAGGCGGACGTCGGCTTCATCGCAGACTGGAAGACCAGCGCGCAGGACTGCGCCGAGATGCGCGAGGGTCGTCCGTGGACGTGGCAGATCGACTACCACGGCCTCGCCGGTATCGTGCACTGCCTTCTCTTTGGCAAGTACATCGAGACGGTGCGCTGCGATCAGGGCGGCATCGGCGCCGGACGCAAGTACCGCGTCCGCGAGAGTCTGAAGCGCTACTGGCAGACGGAGATCTGGGGCGAGTGCTTCGATATACTTCTCAACCCCGGGTCTTACGTTGCCGCTGAGGATGGCGCACGTATGCCGGTACTCAAGAGCATGCGTAGCGTCCGGGAGAAGATGGAGGTCTGGCTGGAGAGCAACTGCGAGAGAGGCGTGGGGTTGAAAAGCCTCATGGGCAAGGTCGAGGCCTTTGCTAAGGGCAGGAGGTGAATAGGGGAGGGCGTATATGCCTTTGATGACTTGACGAGGAGCGGCGTTCCGGGCTACATGGGAGGAGAATCTGTCCTTTTCCATAAACCACCTATACCACTAGTGCGTTTGTTATGTGTCTACCTTAATAACGATTGTTCATATTTTACCTTTGGGGCTTTACCTGTCAAGTTTCGCCCGTGTGAATACCTTCACCGACACTGCAATAGGCTTCTCGTTGATGGGCCCCCCATAAACGTTGAATCCGTGTGGCCACCCGAGTTCTGAACACATTGACCATATCGCCAGTCCTGCTGCTGAGGCACCGCTGCTAGCTTTTACGAGGTCGACGGCACAAGATCTTGGGCACATACCGACACGTTCACTGTGTCCACCGAAGATTATGCCCAGAGGGCCAGTCGGCACGGGTGTTCGTTCACTGCTACTGGCGCTACCCAAGAGTGCCCAAGCAATAGATGCCTGGTCTACCTTACTGACCGACGAGAGCCGCAGTCCCCTGCGAGTGTATCATTCATTCCCCTTGGCCCAGAGACCCCGCCCAACCGGAGCAGACGATGTTGTCAGCAACAGCAAATGCGGCTCGGGCCTGGAGATAGCACCGAGGAAAGGGCAACGTCACGAACATGTTTCGTTCGAAGGTGCGGTTCAGGCCCCCAACGACAGCTGTTGAAACTCGGCCGAGAAAAGCCCCAGCCAAAGGTCACACCCCCCCCCCCCCCCCCCCCCCCAACACGCACATACACACTGGCCCTGGCCCTGGTAGGGGTGTAAGGAAAACTGATGTTGAAGAGTGACCCAAAAAATAAGGATAAAAATAAGAAAGGTGATTTTTGGGACGATTGGAAAACGTCCCGGGTGTCGAGGTCCCCCTGGACCGAAACCGTTGACCGCTTATCATGGTCCATTGAGGGTTTTCCGCCCTTGGTGAGCCCAGTCGGTCAGCCCATCTGTACGTACGGTACCGAGCGTCTGGGAAGTGTGTGAAGAAGAAGCTGGACCCCATTAAAAGCCCGCTCGCTGCCGCCCTTCCCCCCACGGCTTTTCGCCGTCGTGGCCCGAATTGGTGGACTTCACGAGCGCTCAAACGGGGGCTCGAGAAGCCAAAGGCATCGTCGGCTCCGACACTGTTCCGCCGGGAAGCGGCGTCATGGTCGTCCCGAACCGGAGTCCTGGGTGCCAGCGTTCGTAGTTCTCGTTATGACTCGACTCGAAACACAAACACACCCGATAGTACTCGCACGCGTTTCCTGTCGTGCGGGCCACTGTAGATGCTTGTGGCAGACTATAAAACGTGTGCGTCAGCTTCTGTCCCCCTCGCGCGCGCGCGGCTGATTGTTCGGATCGTTCGCTACAGACGGTCGTCGCGGGCAAAACCCGTCTCGTAGCAAGCTGCGTGGTTAAGTGTACCGGACCATCCATCGCCCGGATGAAATGGGTTTCCGCATGTTACAGGGCGATTGGAAGACCCGTTTCCCAAGCTAGCCAGATGTCTTCTCCCCCAAAAGGACTTGTCTGCTCTAGAAGGGGCGCAAGGATTCTCGCGTGGATGGTCTTGCAGACGGTTAAGCGGCATGCCCCCCTTCGCCCCAGATTGACCGAGCTTCGCGAGCTCGGGCCAGTTTTTGCAAGGCACACGGATACCCAGGTCTGGGGGACCGATGATGAACGTACGAGACTCGATCGCGGGGGGTATGCATTGCTGCCCTTCTCTCAACCTAGGCCCATTATCCATCCGCATGTCTGACGCAGAGCATCCGGCTTTGCGGATCAAAGTACCTCACGAATTTGATGGTTTTGCTTGAGAACCGGTCGTGACCATTGTGCTGTGCTGTGGTTTTCTTTTTTGTACTGTTCGCCCTCACATGTTCTCCCGCGCATTACCACGGCATCTCCCTCGCTCCTAAGTTACATCCTGTCGCTCTCCTGGTCGGGACGACGACCGTTCACTTCCTCTTGCGCTCAAGGGCGTCCATCTTCTCCTCCAATGCTTGGACGTAGTTGCTGAGGCGCTGGACGGCAGCCTGGAGTGCCTGGAGGACCGGGATCTGGTTAGCTCTCGTAGTTTCTGACTATCCGAGGACATGACGGGGTCTAGGAAACGGTAGGGAGGGAACAGTGTCGGAGAGAACAAGCACGCCGCGCACTGGACGGGTAGTCCGCTAGGAAGGGAAATATGGTTTGCTATAACGTAAAAGGTACCACCGGTATCCCCCGCATTGCTCTTGGAAGAAACGCAAGAAATGTGACAGCATGGACGGAGGGCAAGCCCAGGGGCAACTGGGGAAGGGATGTGTCAAACGCAGTAACGCACGTAGATATCCTCCGACAGGAGGTCGTTCGAGGTCTTGTATTCCTTGAGGATGTAGGAGTAGACGCCGGCGCCAGTGAGGGAGGTGCCGAGGAAGAAACCGAAGAGACTGTTGCAACCGTGGGTTAGCTGTGTGCTCCATTTTCCCTCGGCACAAGACTGAAACCAGCAGCCATCCATGCCCGCCAAGAGGACCTCACGAGACCACCCCCCGATTGAGCGCGTGCTGGAAAGGCTAGACGACTGCTGGGATAATGGGCGGGCAGGGAGGGGGGGCTAGTGAGACGTACCCTCCGCGGAAAGCACCGACGGGTTTCCGAGCCGGGAGAGGGGCGGCGACGGCGTCGCGCAGGGGCGAGGAGGTCTGGAAAGAGCGGGCGGCGCGGAGGGGGAGGCCGGAGACGCGGGGGATCGCGCGGGTGACGAGGCGGGAGGCCATCTTTGCGTTTTCGTCTGGGGCGGCAGCTGTTCGAGCAGCCGAAAGGCGGGAGTTGTTCACGCAGGAGGTGAGGTTGGTTGGATGCGACAGAGGCAATTGGTCGAGCTGCGTGCGTAGCTGTTGTCAAGGGCTTAGGTAGGTTGTTGTTGTGGAAATGTGGTGATGGGATGGAGAATGGCGTAGACCAAGTCCGATGCGGTCGGTGCTCTCAGGCAAGGTAACTGTCTGGGAAGAGCTCGCCCCCCAGTCCCTTCGTTACGTCGTTTCTGCGGTGCCGCTGCGGCGTGCAGCACCTCAGGTACCAGCGCCGGCGCAGCGAAAAAGAAGGGCGGGATTAGCCGGGACGCCATTGGTAGGCTCCCATTGGCCAGAAGCTCAGAGCTGGGCATGACAGGTTCCGGCTCAGGGATGCTGGGGACGTCTGGGGTGTCTTCATGGCCCACTGAAGAGGGTTCGGAAAGACGCACTCGTCTTACGAGGTTAGACCACAATGAGGTGACGTTTACGGCCCCTTTAGAGGGTTGTTTACAGTCAAGTTCGAGATATTCAATATTTGAGCCCGGTGTTGAATTCAAGGTCGAGGTCAAGACTTGACTTACATCGTTCCGAGAGCTAGTCGCTAAACGTATGTAAGTCTCTCGGTAACCACGTCGACCCCATTGGCCAGAAACCGCCCATTCAACGTCGCCCTTTCTGATTCGGCAATAAAAAAAAAGTTCCAAGCTTGAGCAGCTCCAGCACGCGACCCGCCAAACTTCAACCCAAAAAAGTATCCATCCATCACTCTTCCAACGTCAACCCCCTCTCAAACCAAAGATGAACAACTTTGGAGTCTACGAGCTCGCCAGCGCAAAGGTCACCTCCGCCCCGGGATGGGCCTACGTCCCCGACACGGGCGTCAACCCGGCCGCCGCCGCGCTCCAGCCCACGAACCGCAAGCGCGCCGCCCGCGGCAAGGCCAATCCGTCTGCCTCGGACCTCAGCGTCCGCCAGGAGGCCAAGATCCGCAAAGAGCTTGAGCACCTCGACCGCGACGGCGGCCGCGATGCCTCTATTCCCATCCCGGCCAAGGGGTCTAGAGGTGAGTCTGTCGTTTTGTGCTTCGTCGCACAAGCAGCAGCAGCAGCAGCAGCAGTGGACTGACATCCCCTCCCCCTTCCCCAGGCCAGAACAAGAGCACCCCCAACATTCGCAAGATCCTCCAGTCCCAAAAGACGTTCCACAACCACCTCGACGACTACCTCGCCCAGCTCTCTCACACCGACAACGCCCCCGCACCACACCCGAACCAGCACACCCCCAGACCGGCCAACAAGCCCCCCCACCCGAACCAGCACACCAAACGCAACGCCGCAAAGCGCTCCAAGACTTCAACGCCCAAGCCGACGCCCGCAGAGCCCGAGGACGTCGAGATGACGCCTGCGCCTTCGGCCGCCGGCGGAGAGAGTAACCCGACGACAGCAGGGGCCAAGGAGCCGACGGACGACCCGGTGTTGGCTCCGTACGAAGGGCCCGCGCTGGCCCCGCACCCGGGCGACAACGACCCCCTCCTCGCGTCGCGGGTGCCCGAGGCGCCGACGGACGAGGAGCTGCGCTGGCTGCTCGCGCAGCCGATGCTGAGCTTCTGGGACGCGCGCGCCGAGCCGGGCGACGAGGACGCCGCGCGGTACCCCGTGCGGACCTTCTGCGAGCTGTGCGGGTACTGGGGCCGCGTGCGGTGCATCAAGTGCGGGACGAGGGTGTGCGCGCTCGACTGCCTCGAGGCGCACCGCGAGGAGTGTTTCACGCGGTACGGTATTTGAGGAGGGGCCCACCTGGGGTCGACTTGCACTTGAGTTTTGGGAAAAGTCGGAAAAATTCGGAGTGGCATGGGTGTTTGTCACCTGATTTGGCACGGACAGAGAGGCGTTATGATACCCCCACTAATGATGTTTGACATTGTCTTTTTTACGTCAAGAAAAGGACGTGGCATGAATTGATAGTTTGGAAGGCTCGGCCTTTCCTGTGGCTCTGTATTTGTGACTGGTTCCTAGTGGTACATGTTTGTACGGGTCTGCGAGATGCTCCATGCTCTCGTGGTATTTGTATATACGTTGCGGGGGAGGTTATGCGACCTTTGGGAAGATCGTCGATCCCACCTGACTCGTCTCAGAGCCCAGCCTATCATCATCATAACGAACGAAAAACCGGGACAGGGGTATGTCACCGGCAGGGTAAGAGGCACTCTTACCCCTGGGGGAATCAAAAACGAATGAAGAAAAAAAAAGATGACTCCCTCGGGAGGGGAGGAGCAAAAACCGAAGAATCATAATACAATCACACGCCCAAAAGTTCACCCCCTCACCCACCGCCGTCTCAAAGTTCCAAAAAGGAACCTCCCATCTGGACAACCAGCGTCTCACAGCTCGCTGCTGACGCTCTGGGAATTGACCAGCGTGAACTCGACGTTGCCGGAGGACGCGCCGCCGGCGCAGACGGCGCGGACGCTGCCGGTGGGGCACTTGTCGCGGGCGGCGCGGACGCACTGCTCCCACTTGGCCTTGGCGATGTTGATGGAGGCGCCGGGGACGGTGGTCTTGAGCTCGAAGCGCGCGGAGCCGGCCTGGCCGACGGTCGTGGCGGGGGCGCCTTGGCAGGCGGCGACGGAGCCCGAGATGCCGCCGCAGATGGCGAGCTCGGCGGCGTTCTGGTCGTGGAAGACGATGTGACTGGGTCCGCGTGTTAGCGAGCTGGAAGAAAGAGCAAAACAGACCCCATATGAGGGGGAGGGGGAAGAGAGCGAGACATACGCGTTGCGGTCGATGCAGGTCGCCTCCACCATGGCGGCCGGGTTCACGGGCTCCAGGCTCCGCATGCTGAGGACCTCGAAGTGCTGCTGGGGGACGGTGTAGCGGGGCCACTTGTGACTTGCGGCCGGTGCCGCGAGGGCCGCGGTGGCGGTGAGGAGGAGAACAAAGGCGTGGACGAGCGTGGTGAACATGTTTGCGGTGTTGGGTTGGTCTCTCTGTTGTGTATTTCGCGAGATTCTCCGGACGAGGTGTTCGGTGTAAGTCGAGCTCGGGGTCTGAGATGATATATCTTATCTCGAGATTGGCGGACTCGTTTGGGCGACTTTTATTCTCTTCAAGTGCTTGCAAATGTAAAGCGGAATGGAGTAGGATTCGAGAGTGACGGAAATGTTCGATATATGAGTTGTCGTCCAGAACAGTGGGCACGAAGAAAAAAAGGTTGAGGCCCCTCGGGAGAATGAATGGAACAGATCACAGATCGTCTCGGTTTGAAGGGGTCGTGGGGGAAAAGGAAAGAAGGCAAACTGTCAAATATGAGCGGTTGCGTGTTTTCTGTTCGAGAAAGAAAGGAGATAAAGTATCAACAACTTCAAGCTGCACACAGGAAGGAAATAGCTAAGGGGAATATAAGATGAGAGGCTTTCATGAAGGTGGACAGACAAGCCACTAAGTAGTTTCGCAACTCGACTTCTCGATTCCCTTCCTGAGCACACCACCAAAACTACCCACACCCCCCTCCCTACTCTAAACTACAAGTGCCTAGGCAGTTTATGGTCAACCCCGGTCCCCAGTCCCATATCTTAGAGCGTGTTTCCCATGTCGCAATCAGCAGACAAGGGGAGCCTTCTTTTCCCTGGTGGCCCGATGATGGACTCGCTCCATTCGATCGATATTATGGGCCCCCGGCCAGCCATACTGCGCCTGTCGAAGCAGCGGGTGGGAAAGACGGGTTGCAAGTTTGCGACCTGTAACCTGCGGTCCTGCCGGACAAACGGGGACGAGGACGGGACTGGAATGAACCGCGCGAGGGCCACCGTGGTGTCCTTGCTGCAAGGAGAGAGGGAAACGATTTGCAACTGTCGCCAAACTCGACCCAGGCCCGGTGCCAGTGTGTGAGGAGCGTTGGCATTAGTGGACTCGGGCAGCTTCACATCCAGCCACGATGACACTACCCAATACCTACTGTGGTAGGCTTCAAGGGGGCGCCAGGCACCGGGGCTTTTTACCACGAGGTGCCACCAAGGAAAGGCAGGATGCTCAAGTGCTGTTGCCAAGAGAAAAGGCTGCGAGCAAAGCACCTATCCCAAGTTCCTCTGCCAGGTCTTCCAGGTTTCTCTTCCGGGGCTTACAAGGGAGGTGCTATCGCTCCCACTCTCAGATCGCTGACTCCACTTGTTCGGGGGGGGGGGGGGGGGGGGCAGCTGGGCGCATGAGGTTCGATACAGAGCTCCAATGTGCGTGCTGCAGGGGTTATACCACAAATAGAGCGCCGTCACTAGGGGCCACTGGGGGCCAGCCATTATTACGTTCTTCCGTTTCGCTATCGGTAACAGCGGCGGCGGATGGCAACTGGCCTGCAGCAGTAGCCCAGCAGCAGCCAGGAGGAAGGGCTAATAGAACACTGCGTGCAAGTTGACGACGAAGTTTAGGCTAAGAGCGGACTACGTGTCAGAGGGCGCCGAAGCAGCGCGAAAACAAAATAAGGGAGGTGAAGAAGCAAAACACTAATTAGAGGGTCAAGAGGATGCGAGGAACAAGTTTTGGTGATCAGTTGGGGCTCTGTTCAATCGACATGGCGACCCTTCACCCGAAGTCGCAAAGGTGAAACGAGGCCAGCAAGCCAGGCCGACGGGTGCGTGTGCGCACTAACCCCCAGCCCAAGCTTGGTCGTGAGTCTCTTGAGAGTAGCCCTAACTGACTACAGACGGCGACAGTGCGTGCGTACTGCCGCGTGCCCTCTCATTGGACGACAGCAGACCTACCGCCGCTACTAGTAGTTGCGCGTCAGGGTTCAAGACGTTGGATGGGTGCCATTTTGATACATCTGAAACCCGATGCAGTGGGGGCAACCCCACCCTGGTGTTCCCGTGGGAATCTACCCTGGCGGTGCGACTCTTCTACTGCTTGCGGTTGATAATACCACCTACCGCAGTCGTGCGGTCGCTCCGGCCGCCTCCCCCATTGGGCTTCGAGAAAACCAGTGCGACATGGAGCCCGGCCCAGAGGATGACTGTATGGCTGGCTGACTGGCTGGCCAAGGGGAAGAAGGCTTCTCGACTTTCTCAAATTTTCCTTGGCTCTGTTTGGTAAGACGCGCGCAATCAAGGCCTTTGGGAAGGGGGGGTGGGGGGGTGGTAAAAGAACGGGGCCACCTGGCACCGGCCGAGTAAGACGATGTCGTCCTGTGCTTTGCTCCAGCCGCCAAAACACAAACCACATAAATAAATCATAATCCACAAACGACAGGGGAAGCGCTTGGCCTTGCGACACCCCTTCTGCCGCTGGTAATGCTGCGCCTGGGGTCAGGCATCTTTTTCCAGTGTGGCTGACAAGCTGTTGCTGGTCAACAGGATCATAGGATGTGCTAGTATATAACGAGGCCCCGAGCATATCCCTGAATTGTACATTTCGCCCCCCTGCGGCCTGTTGTGCTCCTCGGCCAACTTGTTTGTCCATGCGGATTGATCATATTTTACCCGTTTATTGGTCTTTTCAGGTACTGGGATTCCTCTTCGCCCCTCCTTTGGTGATCTCCGAACTGATGGCTGGACAAAAAAAAAAAAAAACGGCCTGTTTGCTTCCGGGCTCGGTCGCCCCCCTAAATCGGTGGCCGGTTGATATGAGCCTGCGCGGAGAACCGCGAATTGCCGTGCATGACCACCCGTAGGGACGGCAGCGGCCCAATCCACTGGAAGGACAGATAAATCACCGCGGGCAACTCCGTCCGTTGGCCACTACCTGCCTCGTCATATTTGCCCCGAATGTACCGGCGCCTCCCATCGATCGGCCGTTTTTTTCAACATATCAGGTTCCGCCCCCTCTCCTTCATGTTTCGTGTTCATTGCCTGCCCCCCCTCCCAACTTAAACTACTATGTATGCTGCCGCCGGCTGTTTAGACGAACCCACCGGTAAACTCTACTTGAGGAAGTGACGTGCAAGCCTAAATGAACGAGAGCCAACCAGACAGACCGTTCTGCAGCGGTGACTTATCCGATTTCCACAACGCTAATATACTGGGTACATTGCTAAAAGTCTAACAAGCACATTGTTTCCCTGAATAACAAACGACCAATCTATCCCCGCAGGCCGAGGCCCCGGCTAAACTCTGCCAAGAAACGAGCCATATAGCCCGCTTCCTTGACCGATTGACAGGTGGCGGACAGTACTACTTGATATCAACATGCGCTCATCGCTCCATATCTCATGATTTTCATTGCTTTCGCCCCCCCCCCCCCTTGACTGCCGAGGTTTACCCCCACACACAATCGTAACACGATGCTGTTTTTGGCCTCCACAAGCCGGTTTGTCTAATGCACTATATGTCACGAGTCTTGCCCAACCCAGAAGTATCATGTCACATTCAATTTTGCTTCTTGCTCTGTCCGCAAACTCCACAGACTCCAAAATCGCCGGGGTTGAGATACTCGCTACCCTGGCACGCGGCGCTCCGGCATCGCCAGGCGTTCGGCACGCTCGCCGCGTCCAATACGTGGGAGCACACAGCGCACGTTATCGACAAGGCCGTATTTGCAAAGGAGCAAACTCCGCAGACAGCTTCTCCCTCGGTGGGCACCGCCGTTGCTGTCGACGCTGTATTCGGCTGATTCGTTTCTCCCGTGGCTGACTGCGATGTTGTGTCATTCGCTGGTGTTGGAGGGTGGGATGCTAATAAACAAGTTGCATCCTCTGCTTCTCTCTTGATTACGGGGGCTGCACTGATGGCGTTGATAACTGGGGCCACCTGATCGGCATCCTCTTCCTCCTTCTTGATCCTGGTTCGAGGCGATACTAGTTGCTTTGGTGCTTGAGAAAAGTGCTCATTGTCTTGCGCGGGCTGTCCCACTCGGTTGTTTGGCGCAGTAGCATCGGCGGTGTCCTCCTCGCGTTTGAAATTAAGATGTGTCTGCCGCCATTGCTGTACTGAGTTTTGCAACTCCTGGAGCTCGTTCTGAGCATCCAGATCATCCGGGTTCTCGTCCTCGCAAACCTTGATCATGCCTCGACCTTTACCGTCAGTGATGGGTCTTCCATCAATGTCGACGGCATCTTCGTTCTTGACGTCCGCAGGGTCGTCTTCGTACTCGCTTTCGCCGCTGTCGTCCTCATCTTTGACCTCGAATTTGATGTCGTCTTCGCGCTCCTTCTTTTCCTGGTCGAACCGTGCGAGCGCTGCCGCTGCCCGCAACTCACGTCCCCGGGCGCTTCCAGCCACGCGAGGTTTCGCTTGCGTGCGCTTGCCGCCCTCCAGCTTGACCTTGGTTTCTTCATCCGCTCCAAGTGCAACACCGTTGGCGCCAAACTTCTTGAGGATCCGACGCTCCTTCTGCTCCCTGTAGGACAGCTTGGGCTTGATCTTCCTCTTGCGACCGCGAGATCGATATGTGCCGCCACAGAGGTGCTCTGGAAGCGGCTCATTGGGAAGTGCAACATTGTTCTGGAACTGCCCAGTTCCCAGTTGGGCGCCACGGCCCCAAATACCGTCGCCAGAGTAGCCTCGCTGCCAGAGTCCTCGCATCTGATCGGCATATTGATTCCTCACTGCCCAGAAGGCTCTGGAATGGTTCATTTGTTTGCAATGCGCCAGCCTGATGCGATCAGCCTCAGACCTTCCTTCGGAATCGCTGGCGCATACTTACTCATGCATCATCACCATTTGAACGTACTCAAACGGCAACCATCGTCCTGACCGCGACTTTAGTACCAGCTGTATTATTTCACCAGCATTGAAGTTTCTTCCGACGAATTCCCGGTTTGGCTCGTACTCCTCCAAGGACATCACAGAAAGGTGGTGCTCTCTCATAATCGGCACTAGATGTTGATTAGCCGGGTCCCGAAGTTTGTGTTTGCGCAAGTCGCTCACAGCATTGAGCTGCTATTCTTTCGAGGAAATCCTGAGCAATCTTTTCATCGACTCCTTTCAAAGGCTTGATGAAGACGATCCGGTCATTTGGGTGCGACCGTTTCGCATTAAGCCGCTGGATGCCGATCGGCATATTGAAGTTGAGATGATGAGTTCCTAAAGTACACCGCGTATTCTCTCGCAAGTTGACGTCCGATTATTGTTGTGCTGGTGGAATTTGGGTGGTTGCTTGTCTCGGGATCTGACAGAGACGAAAAGCTACCACAAAATGCACGAGCGTGTCGAAGGGGCAAAAAGGCAGAGCGGAATGACGCGCAGTCACGTGCCCCACTTCAAAGGTCTTTAATGAGGTTTCCACTGGTGAGGCAGCGGCTTGTTCGGCCCAGCTGCATCTACTTTGTGCTTCTGGTCTCTTGTTTCCAAGTTAGGCCTATCTGCATCACTCTGTCTGAAAGCCTCAACGCCTTCTCGCTCCTCCGGCAGCAGCAGCATCGCCTCTTTCTGCGAGGGACACAACCTCTGTGATACCAGCGGCCTCTTGCTCCTCTTCCAATGCCGTGATCTCCTCTCTGCAATCCCACCATTTTTCTTCACTGAGCTCGAAAGCCTTGGCCTTGATCTCCTTGATCGCCATCGTCTCGGGCTGAATGTTCTTCCAGCGGAGGTTGGTCATGAGAATCTCCTGCCACTCGTTCGTGGTGCGCACGAAGAAGTCGCGTCTGGACTCAAAGGGCTGCGGCGTTGTTAGTACAAGTTTAATCCACAATGATATGCCGCCCAACTTACTCTCGGGTGCGGGAGGCCATCGTCCACGGTCGCCTCTGTCTCTGTATCGTCATCCTCGGTGGTGCTCGTGGGCGCAGTCGAAGACGAAGCCGCTGTTGTCTCAGAGCCGGCAACGGAAGCCTCGTCGCCCTGTTTCTTCTTGCGCTTGCTCGGTGTGTTGTAGAGCTTCTTCCTGTCTTCCTCCTCCATTTCGTCCTCTTCATCATCCTCTTCGTCTTCGTCGTCGTCTTCATCTTCGTCGTCGTCGTCATCCTCGTCCTCGGACTCCTGGAACAACGTTAGCGGCGCGATAATGTTTTCTGGTGTGCTTAGACTTACGACCCAGTCATCAACGGGCCTGTTGAAGATTTCTTTGCAGCCATCCATCTTTCCAAGGTCAATCGCGTAGAGATCATCGAATGTGAACTCACGATCCTTTGCCTCGAATGTGCCGCCATAGATGTACAAAACATCGTCTTGCACCGCCAACTGGGCGTTGAACCGCTGATGAGGCAGTTCCATCGTTACAGGCATGTCTCTCAGAGGCTTTGCGTCCTCTTCGGGCTCCTCATCCTTCTTCTCAAGCTCCACGTCGTCGGCATCTTCTAGGGGCTTGCCCGTCTCCAGGGCAGCCAACTGGCGGAGGAGCTCATCCTCACGATCCTGGGCTCGCGCGCGACGACCGCCGCGCTGTTCGGCCTGGTTGGCCTTCTTCTGCTGGCGAGCCTTACGAAGAACTAGTGGGAAGAAGCGGTTTCGCTCAATGTTCCATGCGAAGAGCTCCCTAAAGAACTCGCTGTCCATGCCTTCCTCGCTGTCTTCCACGTCGTGCACACCTCCAAACAAGATGCCACGTCCCTTGTGCCATGCCATGGTAGCACCCGCACGCTTGGGGGTAGGCGCGTTGGCGGGCTTCTTGCGTCGCTCCCAGCGAACGATGGGAGGCGCGTTTGGAGGTGATCCGTCGGCAGGTAGAGACATTCTAAGGAAGAAACAGTCATCGTGCACCATCGGCTTCAGGATGTTTTTCGATCCTTGAGATGAGCCTCTGGCCTGCTTATTGGCCGCCACGGTAGCCTTGACTCTAGAGTAACCTCCATACAGAACAGCGCCTTGCTCGTGAGGCAGTAACGTGAAAGAAGACCTTGCGTCAGGCTTTAGCTGCGCAGGAGGCAGAGTCGGGCTGTACCACGTAAAGCTCTGGGTGTCAAAAATCCACAAATCGGCAAGGTACTTGGTCTGGTTGGAGGTATCCTGGAAGCCACCAAACAAGATGATGTACTGCTTCCAATATGTCATACGATGACCACTCCTTGCAGGGGGTGTCTTGCCCTTGCACTCAATCTTCGTCCACTCTCTCGTAGCGGGCTCCAGCCGCCAAAAGTCCGAGTAGTGGTGGAAAGTTCCCTGCTTCGGCGACGAGAACTCCCCGCCAAACAAATACACATGGCTCGGATTGGACGCTCTTGTCCACGCATGTCCGGAACGTGGCAAAGGTGCGTTCGGGGATGTCACGCATCTCCACTCATCTCGGTCAATGTAGTAGATGTGCAGGTCGTTGAAGAAATGCGCCAAGGAACCGTTAAAGTACTCCCCGCCAAAGAGCAGCAAGTTGTTGCGGTCACAAGGGGAGGCCATGATAGTGGAAGCGGAGCGAGCCTTGGGCGGTCCCTCGCACACGGTCTCGGTGACTTTGAGAAACTGCTCCTGCTGCTTCCGGTACTCCTCGAGCACTTGCTCCAGGTCGACATCCTCGGCATCACTACCCTCGAGCTTTGCGATCTTGGTCTTGGCCTTCTTCTCACCCTTGCTGGCCTGCTTTTGCTTCTTTGCAGCCTACTCCATGTATAGTTAGGCAACTAGCGGTCGTGAGCAACGGATGCGGTGGTGGACGTACTAGCTTGGCCGCCTTCTCGTCGTTCTTCCCCTTCTTAGCTTTCGCCATGATGGAGTATCTTTAGAGGGGATTATCGACCGTGGAATGTGCTGGCGGATCAGGACAAGTGTTGACTTAGATTCGGTGACGTCGGCGGGGTGAACATTAGCATGAGAATAATGGTGGGGTTCATCGCATTGGAAAATTTAGTCGAACGATGAGGGGCAATTCACATTGGCCAATACAGTTCTCACCCTCCCGCAATCACTGTGCAGTTCGCCTTATGGTCACTTGTAAATACAGTGCGAAGTCACTGATGTTGAGTTCGGCCTTGCAACACCATTGCATCCGGATGCCATCCACGGGTTTGCGAACGGCACCTCAGCAAGCCTAGCCCAAAAACCTAGGAGGTCTGCTTGCACATTCGCCGAAAAGCCATTTCCTGGTCCCTGGCACCAGGCACGGTGACGAATCCGTAGGTTTCGGCGTCGCGTGCTGCCCTCGCCGCTCGAGCGATCCCATTAATGACGGCGCTTGCTTGGCACGGGCCGAAGGTTGGCAAGTTTGGCTAGTCAATTGCCTCAGCTCTAACACGATGGCTCGGACAGCATTAGTACCCAGCTATTCACGTAAAAGGCCGCAAAGTTTCATTCTGAGGCACTTCTCGCCGATTTCTGGGATGACGGGGGAGTGCCAATTAGGTCAGCCACGCCGGAGCTTTCTGAGAAGCAGAAGTGGGAGTGGAAAGCTTTGTTCTGAACTATCTCCTAGCGAGGCAGGTCTCAGACCAACAGCTCCATGACGCTACTTTCAAGACAGCCTACGGAGTACTTCGATCGCTCTAGGGGGTTCTAGTGCAAGTGCAGACTGGTTCGTTCGTAGCAGATAGGCACTCAGCATCGTAGGGCCTCAAGCTCGCAGTCAGGTCATGCCACAGTTCCATGATACCAACATGACTGCAGACCAACATCGTGTTGATGGCTCCTGATATCTAGCTGTTGATAAAAGGGGCCTAAAGAAGTAAGTCAGACAATCACATGCAAATTGGACACTCAGAAAAGAAAAGGTCAAGGTGACTAGGGATCTTTTCGTCTTATCAAAATTGTGCAGAACGTGCATATTGTGCAAAAGGGGCAGCTTCTGTGCTCAGGGGGGACAGCCGTAGACTGCAGCCGCCTGTCGGCATGTGCGGTCTCACGTCATCGTTATTCGCGACAGCTTTCGGGGGCCGCCAGTTTCCGCTTTTCCACGTCCCTTCACGTTTGTCTGCGCACCACCACACAACACCAGCTATTAGCCTGTCCTTGTTTCGCAACATCAGGCCACTGCCACCAAAACAGCCTTTCCGTTCTCTTTGTACATTCCTCCGCCTACCCCCTCATAGACTTTTGGACCCTGTGCGCCCAAAGTTCCCGATCATCGCTGCTCAAACCACCGCCATTGCTGAATCCAGCCTTAGGTCGTCCGCTAGCACAGGGGAAGCTCGCTCACCTTAGCTCACGCCCACGACGCACGCCCGTCCGAAGTCCGGCCCTGCCGCTGTCCGACGCCGACACAGCCATGTCTAACTTGGGGGGCGGGCCCAAGGTCGCTGTCGTTCCAGGTAGGAGACACCCTACATAAACACCATCCCTCTCCGCACCTCTTTGTATAGGCTTCCTACAGATGCTGGTTTGCGTCTTCGACATTGAAATCAGAGCCGCCATCAGGAGCAGGATCCGCAATCATGCCTCGCAAGAAGAACACGGCCCGATCCAAGTCGCCATCCAAGGGGCAGTCTGTCAAGTCGTTTAGCAACCCTCAGCTAGCTTCGCAGTCAGTCGAATCGGGGAACGCCAAGATTAACATCGTCGCAGAAGCTCCAGAGCTTGGGCCAACCCAGACCTCGACCAAGGACATTCAGCGGCCTGCTACCGAGAGGCAGGAATCTAGCCATAAATACAGTGCCACTGTAAGTCAGAAGAAATGCACTCGCAGTTTACTGTCTGCTAACAGTCCTTTTAGGGTCCAGACGACACCTCGAAAACCCCGACTCAGGATCATCGACAATCACCTTCCGCTGTGATGAAAAATGACAGCAAAGTGGATGACGAAAGCAACGGACATGCTGCGGATCCCGAGAAAAGCTATGGAAGTGAGGGAACTGCCGACGAAACTCTTGTCGATGGTTTCGAAGTCGACAGGTCCGATTCGACATGCGTGAAGGCGATGAGCGACGACAGCTATCCGCGTATCGCCTCAGGAGCCCAAGGTCGCAGGTACAGCATGCACGGGCAAAAGACGGGCGGCATCCGCTTTGCTCCCCTCCAGGTGCCTTTCCAACGCCGCTTGCAGACGGCGGCTGTCTTGTTCCACGGTCTATCAATTCTCATATTCGTTTCGATCTTCTTCTTCCTCGCGGCGCTTCCCCTTGCTTGGCCCCTACTGGTTCCATACCTCATCCACCTCTCACTGTCCGGCGTGGCCTCCAATGGCAACCTCACATACCGCTCAGAGTGGTTACGCTCGCTTCCCATTTGGAGGTTCTTCGCAGACTACTATCCAGCCGCGCTTCACAAGACACACGACCTGCCACCCACCCGGAAGTATATTTTCGGCTATCATCCTCACGGAATTATCTCCCACGGTGCCTTTGCTGCGTTTGCGACGAACGCTCTTGGATTTGCAGAGAAATTTCCTGGCATCACCAATTCCCTGTTGACCCTTGACAGCAATTTCCGAATCCCATTCTACCGCGACTATATCCTGTTCACGGGCGTTCGATCTGTGTCTAAAGAGTCGATATGGAACACATTGAGCAAGGGTGGCATCAACGGAGAGGGAATGGGCCGGGCAGTGACCATCGTTGTCGGCGGTGCCCGAGAGTCTCTGGAAGCTCAACCAGGCACCCTCAGGTTGATTCTCAAAGGCCGCAAAGGTTTTATCAAGATGGCACTACGAACCGGAGCTGACCTCGTGCCTGTTTTGGGCTTCGGCGAGAACGACCTCTATGACCAGCTTAGCCCGAAGTACCACCCCTGGGTACACAACTTTCAGATGTTTGTGCTCCGCGTTTTCAAGTTCACACTCCCGGCGCTTCACGGACGGGGTATCCTCAACTACGATGTGGGCATGATGCCTTATCGCAGGCCTTTGAACGTTGTTGTGGGCAAGCCTATCAAGGTCACGACACCCCCTACAGCTCAACCGCCACAGGAAGAAATCGATCGGTTACACGGCCTGTACGTAGCCGAGTTGCAGACGATTTGGGACTCCTACAAAGACCAGTTTGCGCCCGACCGTAAGGCCGAGATTCAGTTCATTGCTTAGGTGATCTTTTCAAGACTTTTCAAGATGGGAAAGAAGAGCCCTTTTCCTTATGCATACGGCTTCAATTGCGGTTTTTTTTTCCCCCTTACACTCAGGAAATCACTAGGGAATGATGCTTGGATTTTGGCGTCAGGAAGGTTAACTGGAAAAAGGATGTCGAAGAGGTGACAGACACTGCACTACTTGATAAACTCTCAATTGACAACCTGATGAAATACAAATCATTTCAGCCCGTATGAACGTCGTCAAAACAATCCCGCTAGTAATGCAGATCAAATTGGGTCTGATCGCTGAGAGCTCGCAAGGCCAGAGCAGAGGTAGGAGTTCAGCACGCACGGACACTGAAACTGCAACCCCTAGGCCAGTCATAGATCTTGTTCTTAATCGAGGTCACCTGATCTCGCGCAAGGCAAGACGCGAATCTTGACGCGTCTATCCCAACGACTAGTTTTGCTTTTCTTTGTCCCTTGCTCTCGTTGCCCATGTCGCACGTCAATTCACACTTTCTTGCAGGCTTGCGATATTGAGACGCATTCTTTTCCTGCAATCTGTCCGGCCTGCGACGATTCAAAAATGCCTCCCCGCACCTCTGCCCGCAGAAAGGCACAAGCTGTAGCCGAGACCAAGGTCGAAGAGACGGCGACGATAACCACCAAGACGAACGGGACCAAGGGCATGACCGTGGCGACAACAAAATCCCAGACCTCGGCATCCAATAAACCTGCCCCGAAGCGTAAGGCGGCGTCAAACGACGAGCACGAGAGCTGCGGGAGCTGCGCCGAGAAGGAAGAAGAAGAAGAGAAACCCGTCAAAAAGCGGAAGACTGCGCCCAAGGGCAAGGCGAAGAAGGAGGACGATATGCCGGTGGCGGACCGGACGGCGGTGTCTTCGCTCAAGAAGGCGATGTACATTGGTGCGCATGTGAGCGGTGCTGGCGGTATGTTGCTCGGCGATCTATGCAGAATGGCTGGGACTAATATTCGACGTCGCAGGTGTACAAAACTCTATCCAGAATGCCCTTAACATCGGCGCCAACGCCTTTGCCCTGTTTTTGAAGTCACAGCGGAAGTGGGTGAGCCCTCCGTTGGCAGCGGATGCGAAGGAGCAGTTCGTCTCCCTGGCAAAGGACAATGGCTACGACGCCGCCGCCCACATCCTCCCCCACGGCTCATATCTCGTCAACCTCGCGCAGGCGGACGCCGACAAAGCGAAGCAGGCGTACACGAGTTTCATTGATGACCTCAAGCGGTGTGAGCAGCTGGGCATTAAGCTGTACAACTTCCACCCTGGTAACACGGGAGGCGCGTCGCGCGAGGAGGCGTGCGGGCGCATTGCGGCGCAGCTGAATAACGCACACAAGGCCACCAAGAAGGTCATTACAGTGCTGGAGAACATGGCGGGCGCGGGTAATGTCATTGGCACAAAGTTTGAGGACCTGAAGCAGATTATCGACAAGGTCGAGGACAAGGAACGGGTTGGTGTGTGCATCGACACCTGCCACGCCTTTGCGGCGGGTTACGACCTGAGGACGCCGGAGAAGTTCCACGAGACGATGAAGGAGTTCGATGAGGTCGTCGGCAACAAGTATCTCATGGCATTCCATCGTGAGTTTCGCCCACCCCTTTCCCCCGATTCTTGCAAGTATTCTGACGAGTCACAGTCAACGACAGCAAGGCCCCCTTTGCATCCCACCGCGACCTGCACGCCAATATCGGCACAGGTTTCCTCGGCCTGCGCGCCTTCCACACGCTCGTCAACCACGAGCCCTTCCAGAACCTTCCTATGGTCCTCGAGACGCCCATCGACCGCAAGGACGCCAACGGCAAGACGGTCGAGGACAAGAAGGTGTGGGCGGACGAAATCAAACTGCTGGAGCGGCTGATCGGCATGGATGCCGAAGGCAAAGAGTTCAGGGACCTCGAGGAGAAGCTGCGAGGCAAGGGCGACGGCGAGAGAAGCAAGATTCAGGACCAGGTCGACCGCAAGGCGGAGAAGGATGCGAAGAAGGGAGCCAAGGGGGCAAAGAAGGGGACGGCGGGGAAGGGGAAGAAGAAGGTCGAGACTGATGATGAGAGTGAGTGAAGTTGTGCATGATGGGGTGTAATTGCTTGTAAACTTGTATTGTATAGGTCCGGGTGACGCGTGTATATGTACACAGAGTGCTCACGGCAGAGGATCGGGAACACAATCCAGTCTTCACGGGCAGTCTAATGACTGACGAGACACACCAAGCTGGTTTTCGATATTTGAGGATATCAGAGAGCGAGACCTTTGGGACTAAGAACGCATCGGGGGCTGTTTCCTCCGTTTCTCGGCACGCGTCGCCGTGGGAGCCAAGCAGCCAAGCAGCTTAGCCCGCCCTGGCCCAACGGGGAGCCCCGTGGCTTGGGCCCGGCTTCCGTGGGTTGCAGAGGACTTGCGAGGATGATATGCAACTAGTTCAACGGAGTGAGTGGGCATTGCGTTCCCCTTTTGACCCTGGGCCCTCTCCATCCACACCAACGAAGACTTATAAAACTGGGGGCAAAGGCCCTTCCTTGACTCGGAATATCCTCACGCGAGACATCCATCGCATGTTTTTAAGCCTCAACTCTGCCTCGAACGGGCGTTCCCTCTATCAGGACCATAGAAATCCCTTCTCCTCCCCATCCACGAAAAACAAAAAAAAGAAGGGAGGGGGGAAAGGCCTGGTATATGGAGGCTGGAGAGCCTCCCCCTCCAGACCCGCGGCTCAGGCGAACCACCCAGGTCAACCATTCAAGGCCCAACCTCTCCGCAGCGGCCCTCTGCTGGCTCGTCATCGGCCATATTGGCTGCAGCCCCGCGCCCCTCAGCAACGATCTCGTCTTCGTCGGCGTGCTCCTTGTCTTCCTCCAGCTCGTCATGTTGCTGGTCGCCCTCGACACGACCGCCGGGCTATGGCGACCGGGCCGGGGCAACGCGCTGCTGACGGCGTGGATTGTAGGCTTCAGCACCGCGTCGGCGTACGCCATGTTCGCGGCCGGGGGCTGGGCGCGCTAGGGCCAGGGGCTTTTTTGGGCGCTAGCCGGCGTCTACGGCGGGGTCGGGGTCTGGCCCCGGGTCCGGTAGCGGCTGGAGAGGACCGCGAGGACGGATGAGGCGGAATGGCTTTCCCGCGTCGGGGAGGGTGCGCTCGTGAGGACTGCATTCGTGGGTATCTCCGCGGATTCCGAGGGGCTACCAAAATACGGCACGCCCGTCGAGCAGATATGTACGTAGTATCTGTGTCGACAGCAAGGGGAACACCAAATGACCAAATGAGCGTGACGTCCCTCGTTGATCGACTTTCAGACTTCTAATTGATGCTCAGTCCACTCCGGCTCATACAGACCCACCCTGCCCTTTTCTTTATACAGCAAACGCACTACTTGGCTTAGCCTACCTTACATACTGTGATGACAGCAAAAGGACGGTAATCTATACCAAATGGGGGGGGGGGGGGGGTATCTGTATTACATTTGGTTCTCATCTTGTAAGGGGAGGGGCGGAAGACGACTATTGGAGCCAGCAAAGATGTAAACGCAGTTTCTTCGCTGAAAGAAACATACAATGAGAGCGGGGTAGGAATCATCAACAGGTGCCACAACCACAGCGTATAGCCTTTGAGACAAATTTGCGGACAGTTGGAACATTTTCTTCTAGTTGCTCAAATAAGCCGAATAGCTATGGGAATTGTCGTACCTATCAATGGCCAAGCTAACCACTTTACATCACATCGCTATGCACAAATACCAGAACGCTACTGTGCACGCGAAAACGAAAAAGCGGTAGACACATGTTCAAAAAAAATAACGTCGATTTACCCGCAGACCATAATGCAAAGCAAAGAGTCGACTAAACGCGCAAGAGGTATATAATCCCTATCCCATGGAACGTTCCAAAGTGTCATTTTGTTGTGAACCCGAAAACCTTTTACAACTCGTCGTGACCTTCCTCCTTGGCCTCCTTGGTCTTCTCCTCCTTGGCCTCAGTGGCAGCAGGGGCAGCCTGGCTCTCCTCGGCACCCTCCTCCTTGACGGAGACCTCGGCCTTGTACTTGCCGTTCTCCTTGATGAATTCAATCAGGTCCTCAATGGAGCGGGAGCCGGAGTAAGTGACGGCGGCATCCTTGCCACCGGCGGGGTAGAGCTTGATGGTAGGGAAGCCCTGAACCTCATCGGGAACGTCATTGGCAGTAGCATCAACCTTGGCGATGACAACCTTGTCCTTGAAGTCGCTCTTGGCGTACAGCTCACCAAGCTCCTCGTACTTGGGGGCCAGAGCCTTGCAGTGACCGCACCAGGGGGCGTAGAACTCAATCAGGACGTCCTTCTTATCGTCAAGGACAATCTGGTCGTAGTTCTTGGCGACGACAACAGTGACAGGGCCATCGTTGGTCTCAGGGATAGGCTCAGACTTGATGCTAGGCTCGATCTTGCCGGAGGAGAAGTCTTCAACGAACTTGGCGATATCGTCGTGGGTGATCTTCTTGTCCTGGTCGAAGGGGAACTTCTGGTTCTTAACCGTCTCCTGAATAGCGAAAGAAGGGAACTTGTCGGTGGCGAGGTTGAGGTTGCCGGCGTGAGCACCGAACGCCTTGGCGTCAATGGTAGCGAAGTTGATCTTGCCACGGTACTTCTCGGCGATGGGCTTCAGGGCGCTGCCAAGCTCCTCACGCTCCTCAGGGGTCTCGGCGAAGATGTAGGCAAGAGGGATGCCAGCGTCCATGTAGGCAGAGTAAGTCTCGGGGCCAACCTCACCGATCAGGGGGGTAGCGGCGGTCTTGGCGAAGCTCTCAATGGCCTCGGCGTCGAACTTCTCAGTAAAGGTAGCCTTGCCCTCGTCGAAAGACTTGTAAAGGACAATGGCAGGGGCCTTGACGCCCTCAGCCTCGGCAACAGCGGCATCGTTGACGCCACCGAAGAGGTAGGTATCGCGCAGCTTCTCAGCAACCTTGCTGAAGGTCTCATTGGAGGCCTTGTCGGAAGCGTCGATGTAGGCGACGAGGACGACCTTGTCGGCTGTCTTGAACTCCTCAAGGGTGTCCTTGGATAGGATGGAGACGGCAGGCAGGGACTGCTTCACCATGTAGGAAGTGATGGCAGCAGCCTTGCGCTGACCGGAGTATGGGGAAATGTTATCAGCGCCACGGAAGACCTTGAGGGTGGGGTAGCCCTCAACGCCGTACTCCTGGCAGAGGTCGGCCTCCTCAGTGCAGTCGACCTTGACGAGCTTGATGTTCTTCTCCTTAAGGGAGGTGGCGGCCTCCTCATACTCGGGGGCAAGGGCCTTGCAGTGACCGCACCAGGGAGCGAAGACTAGACGGACGGTGTCAGAGTTGGTCCATAGGAACAATAGGTAAATAGGTGCTGTGGGAGACTCACATTCGGCAAGGACGAGGTCGTTGGCCTTGATGAAATCGTTGAAGGTATCCTTCTTCAGCTGGGTGACATCGGAGGCGGAAACCGCGGCAGCGGCGGCCAAAAGGCCAAGGGCAACACGCTTGCAGAACATTTTTGACCTTGAAAGAGGAGTGTTAGAATTTGGATACTGTATGGGTTGCGATTGTGGAAATGGTAGCTTAGGGAGTGAAGGAGGGAAGGCGAGGGAAGCAACTAGAGTAGGTCGACCAGCTCGGCTCAGGATAACTGGCCTCTCTGATCTGGCTACGGTGGCGGACGTTCGCTCCCGTTGTGTTGGGAGGATGGAGCTTTGGTGGGGAGACGACTGCTGTGCTTACCTTTTTTTGACCTGAAGAATCAACAATGAAGAAAGAAAGAGAAGTCACTCGTGAAGAAGGCAATGCTGTCAAAACGAACTTTGGACTACGGCAGATGGGAGAGGATTTGGTCTTAAGTAGTGGGTGCCAGAGGTTCCGGAGAAAGATTTCGGATTTCTTAAGGGCAATTGAGAACAGGTGTCCCTTTTCCCAGGAGCCGCCCCGTCAGCTCATGCATTCACTAAGGCGGCAGCAGTGATTGTAGTGGGTGAATGGACTGGGGGGCGTCGCTTCTTTTGGGGGCCTGTACCCAGATGTCTCACCCCTGACGATTCCTGCTGAGGGGTACATGATCAGGCGTCGCAGTACTTACCCCGATCAACCGGCGGGCCCGTGCCTTGCTCATATGAGGGGCAAACTGGGCCACCCCTCCCTCCCTTTCAGGTACCCTACCGTTTGTCTGTGTTCGCATCAACATATACGGTGAATTGATAATCAAGATCGAGCCAGGCTGACGAGCGGTTTAGCAAATAAAGCTGAGCTAGCTACCAGTTTTGCCTATAGAGGAAGGTAAGCCTGACGTGTCGATCATTATTCATTTTGCCTCCTAGGTAGTCTATCTGGCTCAAGATAACTCTCTACGAAATATAGTGTCTGTATATAGCAATACGACCCGCAATTCTCAGATCTTGTCAGCGGCCAAGCCGACGAACACAGGCATCGCCGCTCAAACGTGATGCCTGATACACCCCCTTCTCACGCATTCCGCTCAACGCCTGAGCGGTCTAAGACAAACTTTCATTGATTGACAGAACGTGCTTGGTAATGGCAATTAACATGGCACAGGCGCAGCAAAGCGCCGGCTCATGTCCCCCTCAAACCTTCCATTCCAAGTTCTCCCAATCCAACCCGGACCAACGCAGTGCGCACCAGGCTTGGGTTGGTTGTCAACCTCGGAATGTAGGTGTGTGGCGGTGGTCTCATTTCCATCCCTTTGTGTCGCCTCTCTCCTGTCCTCCGTACTCCATGTTGCCGCCCAAAGTGTCTTCACACGCAGGATTACAGATGCAAATACCGGTACTACCTACCTAGGTACTCTGTAGTGACAAGTGACACGCAAAGGGACAGCCAACAATACGGTTCCATCATTTCTTGGGTGGCAAGGGTTCCCGGAATTCCAGAGGACACCTTTCCACGTTGTGAGCTAGACAGGCCGGAAGCTCTGCAACTTAGATCGTCTCGTTCCTGCTGCGACCACAAGGTGTATCCTATTTCTCCTTAGTACTAGCCAAGGATCCCTTTTTCTCCACTAGGCGCCAGGCCCTGCCGGCTCGAAGGCCCATCGGCAATGCTACCGTTGAGGCTGATCACTAACCAGATATGGCCACCCTCGGCAGCTTCTCATTCGGCGCTTCCCTCCCAGCTCGATGCATAAGTAGAGGTAGCTCACTACAAGCTTCAGCCACCTGTTATACCTACTATCCCACCTTACTACGTGTACACTACTATGCATGTATGTATGTATGTATGTATGTATGTATGTATGTATGTATGTATGTATGTGGACACCGTGGTCAAACCAGCTTCAATCCAAGAGTCTAACATTCACCATCCAGTTCATCTGCCTGATCCGGTCTGGCCTGGCTATACACTGGAAAGGCAGAGTCGCCGGTGGTCTTTGCCATAAACCCCATCTTCACTTATGGGTTTTTGCTCTGTTGGAACTTGAAGAATAGTCCGGAAGGCTACCCAAAAATGGGTCGTTCCCATCATGCAAGATACTCATGAACAAGACAAACTTAGTCGAAAGAGTCCTAGGGCTCCGGCCATTAAACCACACATGAGCTTTGCCTTCAGACGTTTAACTGAGTACCTAGTTTACGAATACATAGCATTCTGCAGCTGCCTAGCCTGGTGGGCCCGTGTCCCGAACAACGCAGCGGCTGACATGCTCCGTGTTGCCCCAGATCCTCCTCCCCTGCCACCGTTGTTCCCTCAGACCCGAATAGTCCTCCGCATGTGGGGCGCACTAGAGTGTAAATGACCGGACAAGACATATTTTGGCTTATGCAACCTGAGCAAGTATTGTATTCGATTTCCCGGACACTATCTCATACTGACAATACTTATCGCATCACTGAATCCTTCAATACAATCGCTACGTATGAGGACATAGACTCCATTCACTCTGGAAAGTCAGTCAGCCATACCGTACGTTTGGCTCCGGTAACTACTTTAAGTCGAATCGATACCTCACAAGCAAACGCCTGTGAAATAACTACCCAACAAGACTCGAATGGTTATGTCAACTTGTTTGGCAGGACGTACAGTGGTGGAAGGGCTCAGCAGTCACTGAGTGCAGGAGCAATACCGCATCGTCCCTCGTGTGTCATGCCAAGAATGAGAACGCAAGTTGAGCATTGGCAGAATGAAACCTCTGATCGAGGGGCATTTATTGTCTTGACATGCCCCGTGATCAGACATCTACTGGGAAAGAAGACCGGAAAGCTGAAAGAGCATGCCTTTCTATGATGTTCTAGGTACTTTGGTTCCTCTTGCCTGGGGCTAGTCATCTCTTGCCTTGGGGCAAAAACTTCAAGGAAGTCACCTGCGCAGGATAGATCATTGTGCCTTCCCATCATGCACTGGTTGTTGCCGGCCAACTTCTGTTGCTCTTCGAGTGTCCCAACTTCGGCCATGTTCGTCCGAAACAACATTCGTCACGCAAAGGCATGCATGCCATGACAGCTTGTCGGCCCCAACATAGCTTCATGTCGAGTGTTTTTGGCGCATCCTGCTTTGCTCGCTCTTGTTCTTCTGTTGTCTATTAGTTATACTTGATATTACCATCTCGCCTCGCCCAATTCACCGCCAAATCTCCGTTCCAAATGGAGGGCGCTCACGTTCAGCGTCGTTCTGTCAGTCATGGATCACTTCGCAGCAGCTACAAGAATCAGGCTCGAATGCACGTCTTGCATAGCTTGCCGCATCGTCCCCCCCTGAAGAGTGTTAATGAGAACGCAAGTCTGCTTTCGTCGCCAGGTCCGCTCGAAAGCATGCTCAAGACTACTACCGAGACGGGCGACATAGGCATCTTTAGCATCAAACCAGTCGCGCCTGCTACCACGATCCATCACTACGCAAGATCAAGATCGGGCCTTGATGCTGGATCTATATTTGGGACGAGTACCCGGACAAGCGATGGAACCACGTCCAGAGCTGGACGCAGATGGCGAGGCTCTGATCGCGACACCAACTCGGAGATCGTCTCATTGTACGGGTCTGAAGACCCAACATCTTCCCTTTCGAGCTCGCTGTCGCCAAGAATCGGCGGCGCGTGCCAGCGCTCCTACTCTTTGACTACTTGTGGCTCTCGTCACAAGTCCAGCCAGAAATCTTCTGGCACCATGCAGAGCCAGTCGAGCAGCGGCATTCTGCAACGCCCTCGCTCCCCATTCCCCTATCCAACTCGACTGAAACGCCTTGGAATGCGACCATCTTCGCCTGCCCTCACGGAGAATGGACATGTTGACTACAGTAGGATGGTCGAAATAGATCGAATCTCATATGTAAGTACTATTCAATCCATTTCCTGATGTAAAAAAACTGACGTCTACTGCAAGAGAACTGTGCATGGCTCGTACAAGCCAACCTTTCCACAACCGCAGCGACTTGCCCCACCTCTTGCATTCAGCCCTAATGTTAACCAGTCGATGCCGTCTTTGCCGTATCCCAAATCTCTTGCCTCGCCCACTGGATCTATTGCTCGAGACCGTGGTTATAACTACTGGAGCAATGGATACCTGAACAGAGAACGTCGACCTTCTGCAGACCAAAGTGTGAGATCTTCAAGCCTCACGTCAGTCATTGAGATGTACTGCAGACTACCTTCAGGCTCAGAACCGAATCTTCAACGCACAATTCGTCCGGCTGGGTCATTTTATTACGACTATACCGAGGGTTTCGAAAACCCGTATTCTCAAGCTGATTGTTTGGAACCCAGAGCAGCATCTCCGTTGGCTCCAATACCGCAGCGAGCCTCGAGCCTTGTCAAGGCTTTGGTACTTCGAGACGAGAAAAAGGCCCATCTTGATGCAGTGATGGACATATCCGTCAAAGACTCAAGCGACTCTTCTGGAGATTATGGTCAACTTCCAGGATCAAAGTATGTCAACAATATTGACACACTGCCCTCTCAGCGAATGAAATGCAAGACTGCACCCCCAACACTTGAGCCTTTCACTTTTGAGGTTGACGGGACCTCGGCTTCTCGCCCCGCAGACTTTGGTGTCGCCCCAGGCTTGACCGAGGCACTCTCGCCTTGCATCGAGGCCGAGAAGACACAACCATCTCTTATAGTACAAGAAGTTCCAACTTCCATGCACTGCAAGACAGTCGACACTGGAGCACCGGCGGACAAAGAACAGCCAGATATCAAAATGGAGGTCCTACAAGCCAGAACTGACCAGTCCCCTCCAAGTCAGGTTACAGATCGACAATTAAACAACGGTTGTCAAAGACAACCGGAGCTTCTGGGAGACATCGTTCCACGCCACGATAAAATAATGACGTTTGGAGTTAACTTGACGGCCAAGGAGCATCCATCACGAAGGGCGTCATCTCGCAGCGGTCTTGATGCAGTGCTGCGGTCGAGTTTGAGACACTCCGTTGACCCTGGACTTCCTGACCTAGCTGCTCTGGTTTCGTCCTTTGAGCATATCGCCAAACCGCCTTTCATTGGAAAGGATAAACAGATTTCTACGGTACCCAAGACCGCCGATCAGGCTGACTTACAAAGTCCACAACAGCCAGGAGTTGATCCTACGGCAATTGATTTCGCCACTGATGACGGAGCAGTTGTCAATGCTGAAACACATCCGGTATCTGGGCCAAAGAAGCCTTTTCACAAAGGCCACAGAAGGAATAGAGCACTCGCCAATATCAGAACGGCAAGTCTTCAGGCTCGGAGGACTGCGTCAGTCAGCAGCGTAGGTTTTCCTCTTCCTGTCACTGAGTTCGCTTCTGCAACTGCTGCGTTGAGAGTGAGTACTAGCAACCCGTATTTGATGAAGGCATTGCCTATACTTCCCAACAACGCAACTACACCGGCTCAAGAACTGTCGAAGGCTTCCGCAGAAGATTTGGGGTTCCCGGTCAAATTTTCGCCTTTCCAGCTCGAATTGCTTGCAACTCCTCGATCAAGTCCTAGGATCACTGCACAGAAAAATGTGGAAGATCATGAGTCTTTTAGAGCCAGTATTGAGCTGGAAGTGGCTCCAGCCGATAGCGCACAACCCTTTACAAAGTGCCCATCAACGGTGGGGGGGTGGCGCAGGTGGAAGACGTGGCAGGCCAGCCACATGAGAAACCAACGGGCCAAAGTCAGGGTCGTAATGAGGAGTTGAGCCCAACAAAGCGGCGACTTCGTCTCAGAGCAACCCGCCCTGGGGCCAGACTGCAGAGTGCATTCTTCCATGAGATAGACAGCGGCACGGTGAGAAGGCATTCTAGGCTTGAGAGAAGCACACTCATGGAATTGCCGAGCCTAGGGGCGGGGGATTTGCTTACCCCAGTACGGTGTGGGAGACGTCAAAGCAGCACAGTTCATCGGAGACGAGGCAGACAGATCGCTTCAAGTCTGCCAGACGGACAACAATGTGATGGTGTTACCCATATAGCCCGCCATCCACCTACAGCAAGGATATCCAGAGACAAATACCTTCACGAAAGCGACATACCTCTAGCTCACCCTGTCGACGCGAACCTTGTAAGGCACAGTACATCGACTTATGGGTTTGATCTGAGTGATTCGCGAAGCTTTCGCTCAGAACATACTTTCATTCGCGCGCGAAATCTCAGGAAGAAGCTGTCTAACTTGAAGATCCGCCTTACCAAATCACGCTTGAACCTTCGAGATCATGAGGACAGAAACATTGAGCGGCGACCCCGACGAAATATGACTGTCGGCTCGGGCAATTCCGATGACATAGTTCTCCGTGACCATCGGCCTACCGTTCCGCCCAATCAGTCGAAACGGATGGGGAGGAAGATGAGGATATGGATCCGACGAGCCGTTCGTATTTGTGTCAAGGGCCGGAAGTGCGAGAGCAAACCCGTTCCCTAGATTTCGGGAAACTTTGATGATCCGGTCATGTTTACAGTTATTGGGTGTTTCTCTTGCTTGGCTCTCAAGTATTCGAGTTTCTTGAAAACGGGCTTGTTGCTAGGCTTTTGGAGGGGTAGAAAGGTCGGCATCGTTTAAGTCGAGTCTAGCTATGTTGTCCATTCGGGTGGGATGTAATGACTAAGGGGTGACTTGTTGAGTACGAAGAAAGAAGGGGCCACAAAGTGGCTTGTCAGTAGCCAGGACATACGATAGACTGTGGTATCAATAGGATGCGATCCAAGAAAAGACTTTACGCGGTACCTGGGACACAGGACGCCAACGAAAAGAGGCTTGCATTGTTTTCACCTTTGTAGATTTGTAGACGGCCCGTTTTGAATGTGCATGACGGCAGGGCTGCATGCCCACGAAGGTTCTCTTTCATCCAAGCCATGGAAGCCTAGCATTGAGACTGCTTTTCCTCAAAAACTAGCCGGATTTTCCTATAATCTTGTTCTTACCAGGGTTTCTTCTCTTGATTTGCCTCTTGGTGCGAAGGTTACTGCCCTTTCCTTACATTCGTTATATTATCAAACAACGTTCGTTCAACCAACACTCGCTCCAAACGTACTCGGGATCTCGTTCCAACATTCGTTTTAATTACTCAGAGAAGAATTTACTCTTTTTGTTTTGTTTACGGCAACCTTCATCACAACCATCATACAGCGTCAAAAGCCTCTCTGTTCTCCCCTTCCCTTTCCATTTTTCGTGCGAAATGATTGACGATTTCAGCTCGTACGACATGAGTGACATCATTCCCCCGCTGGAAGGGCTCCCGTCCATCATCCGGCTCTCGTCCTTCTTCGGAGACGCGCCGTCCTTCCTGTCGACGGGGGCGACGGACGGCAGCGAGGGCAAGCCGGGGGAGATGGAAAAGGGGGACAAGAGCCCGAGGGGGCGCAAAGACAGCGTTATGATGGAGGTGTACGGGTCGGGATCCGGGTCGTCGGCGTCGGCGTCGGCGTCTTCGGTGGCGTCGTGCAAGAAGCCCGTGGTGACGGTCCGGAAGCGGGTCCTTGGCGTCGACGAGAAGGGAGAGAGCAGCCGCTCGGCGGAAGGAGTCCTCAGCCCTTGGGACGGCAGCAAGGACGACGAGCACAAGATCAAGGACAAAGACAGCGACGACGACACAAGGGAGAAGGCCCCGGGCTCTGCAGCACCCCGGCGCAGCCGCTTCGTCGAGGACCTCGAGGGCCTGCGGGCCGAGGTGGTAGGCAGGACACCCGCCGAGATGTGCCAGCAGATCTGCCTGCCCGAAGCGGCGGGAATGGCTGCCAAAGGCGCCGGGTCGGTCAAGCTGTGTTTCCCGCCCGACGTCGCTATCCCCGTCCCGCCGCCGAAGAAGGAGCTGCTGCAGCCGGCTCTCAAAGAGGGCCGTCCGCCACCGTCCACGACATCGTCTCCCGGGCGGTTGTGCCACCATGACGGCGCATGTGTACGGAAGAAGGGGCGGCGCAGGAGGAAATTTGCCCGGGCCGTCGTGCGGCTAGCCACGAAGCCGGCTCGGTGGCGCAGGGAGGACAAGGGGAAGAGGCGGGCCGCGTGCGAGGTCTGCGGCGACGACACGCCGCCGGACCTGCGGAGCGGCTGGGAGCAGGGGCAGGACGGGGTCGCTCCGGGGTCCGACGGCGATTCGGGCGCCGCGGACGAGATCGCCGAGTTGCTGAGCCTGCTGTACGACAAGGACGAGACCGAGAGCAGCTGGCGGTGTAGTGGCTGCGGCCAGAAGGTCGGCGAGGAGCTGATGTGGGAGGGGGACGAGGACGCTCGGATGAAGAAGACCGACGGGACCACACCCGGCTTGAAGGAGGAGACGGTGAACCAGGACTCTGAAAATGTTGCAGCTGGTCTCATGGAGATGCCGGAGGCCTGGTGGGCAAGACATTTTCGGCTGTAATGCTCATCTGTATTGATACCCAAGCTTCGTGGGGGAGGACTCCTAGTGGATGTCACTAAGCAACAGCTTCCCTTAATTTCTAATAACTAATTCGGGTGATTCAGGCACGAGATGGTATTCTCTCGCAACACAGCAGGAAAAAACCAAAAAAGCGGATGGTTCGTTTTTCAATCAGAAGACGCCCCCACCGATGATGAAGATTCGTTCCTCTTCGCGTCTGGCCCATTGTATGACCTTGTTGGCCCCTTGGGTCAGCACTGGACGGCTCACGTTAGGGCCGGCGACGCAGTAGAATTCGAAAACGGGAGTGATCCAGGCCAGGGCGGTTGCGTCTTCGGCGACGGAGTGCAGAACGCGCATGTGCGAGTGCTTCGCGTGGACGGCGGCGTGCAGTTGATGGTAGAGGCCCATGAGACGACGGCGGGCCATAAGGGAGGAGAAGACAGGGTCCAGGGCGGACATGCTGAACTGGACGTTGGCACGGGATTTGTATAGAAAGTGGGATATCTGGCCGCCGGGGGCAATATCTGTCGTTCTAGGCCTACCTGCGCGTGCGGCGGCCTGGATTATTGCGAGATGACCGGACTTCGCCAGAGAAGCGGCGACAGCGTCCCGCATTTGTTTAAGCTCAAAGAAGGACTCCTTGTCTGGGCTGATGAGGATGATGGCTAGCTCCTCGTCCGCGTTGGCTGGCGAGTCCTGTTCTGTAGCTTGTCCGCCGTCCACGCCGTCAAAGAAGCTGACGTACATGTACAGATAGCCGCGGTTGTTGAACGCAGGCAGGCACAACGGGATCCAGTTCTCGCCGCCGCCCGCTCTAATGCCACTGGATTCGAACAACATGTTGAAGATAAGTTGTAGGTCGCTAGGATGGAGGGAATGACGGCGCGGGCGAATGACGCTGACCAGCTTGCCGCCAGCCACAATGAGACCGTAGAGGAGCTTTTCTGTCCGCTGCTTAAGGAAGGCATTATTGATGGCATATCTCTGGGACTTGCGCAACTTGAGGCATTCCAGAGCCCCGAGAAGTGCCGACGGGGAGCCCTTCGTGAAATTGTCAGCGAGAGACGAGATCAGAGGCTCGGTGCCCTCGAGCGGTTTTCGAAGATCGCTAGATGGGCGGTGGACAAAGATGTTCTTCAGAGTCGGTAGTGTGAGCGTCGACAGGATCTGCATATATAAAGCCTCCAGTTGCGCCCTGAGCTGTGTGTCGCTCTCTCCGAGCCGGCTGATAGCCACGAAATACAAAGGCCCTTGTGTCGTGATAACGAATCTCGTGTTCCCTGCTGTGAAACCGGAAAGTGGATTCTTTGCCCCTTCATAGAAAGATATGAGAGTCTGGATGACGCCCATATACGAGTTGATCAGCCCCAGGTCTCCATGTCGACTATAAATGGGCTTGCCGGCAGACGACAGGATCATGTAATGCTTCAACTTTGCTTTCCACATGGCGACTCGTTCCTCATCCTTGATGCTCTCATCGGACTCGTCCGGCAGATCGTCGAATTCATGCGCGAAGCTGGCTAGACTGCGAGTCGTACTGTCCATCCTCAGAGTCTCGAACGGTGGAACCGTCACCGATTGTGACCTAAGAAGGTTCCATGCGGGACTTCTCTTGTTGAACTCGCCCATCAGCAGGCTAGCAATATCATTGGGAGGCCGCAGGGTGGGCGAAAAGCTGGCGATGCTCATGGAGTCTTCCCCTTCCGCCAGCGTCCTTATCGGCGTCCCCTGGCCGCTTTTAGAGGACTGGGCGGGCGTGGATACGGCTCTATTGCCCGAAGTCGAGAAGGTGCCGCGAGAGCCATCTGGGAAGGACAGGGTCTGGATGTCGAGAGGGGTGACGGCGGTGGTGGCAGCGGCCATGGCCATTCTTGCGTCTATCGATGCATTCGAATCGATAGAGGGTCGCGGAGGCAGAGGCGGAGGCAGCTCTTCGCCGGGGCTATGTTCGTGGTCCTCGCCCATGATTGCGGCAGAGCACGCGGGACCATCTCAACTAGGCAATACGGGAGACGTCGGAGTCGCGTAGCGGTCGCGCACTTGGATGTGCCTGACTTTGTGTTCGGCTTTGGGTATCAATGGCCCAAGTTTCAAGGTGCCATGGCAGGCATGCGGGGCCTGACCCAGGTTGAGAGAAAGGTTATGCTGAGGGATAGAGAGGAGTGATGGGGAAAGAGAGGATCGTCCCAAGTAGCGTACTCGGCCTGCTGATGATGCGCAGGAGGGGCGCCCAGATTTAGCGGTGCAGCGGCCCTCACTAGTGGGAACGGTCCGCTAATCAAAGCTAAGGCCCACTCATGTTCAGACCAGCACCGGTCCAAACACTCCGAAGGCAAGGAGCCAGTAACATGGGATTCTAACAATCCCATGGCCTAGAAAGCTTCCTTGTCAGGGGCAAAATCCACCGAATACACAAACTACCTTCAGTAAAATCGTCGAGGCGCTGGCTCGGAAAGGTGTGAAGCATCAAGGCAAGAAGGGCGGAGAGAAGGCCCGTTGGATGGATGACAGCCTCCGAAGTCGCACCTTACACACGCTAAACTACAAACTCACATGCAAGCCAATCTGCTCTGACTGGAACTTCAAAAGGTATTTCATAAACTAGATTTTGTCTCGTTACAAGCCGCAAAGGTGGGGGGTTTTCCCAACAGCTTCCTAACTGTAAGGTACAGAGTCCACAATTTTAAAGTACCGTACAAATCGATGCCTGATGACGTTGTTGGTTTACTATCGCGGCACTGATACAGCCAGCCTCGTCAGGCGGGAACGGTCGCTAAATTAGTCTGACCAATGGGAAGCTTGCGAGCTCCCAGGATGCCCCCACTGTACCTGTCGTCTGGAAGGAGACATGGTAGCCTTTCGAGCTCATCACATTCTAAACCCTGTCCACGACACTCTTTGCGAAGACAGCACTTTATGCAAGCGACTGAATCACCAAGGGTCAAGCAGCAATGAGCCCGCGATAGCTTCGTTACGATCACACAAGAACAGTCTGATGTTTTCGCTCGTTCGACCAACACCCACTCTCAGCAATCATGGCCCTTGAGCCTGGCTCTGGCCGACGGTCCGTCTCCCCCGAGAGCTCAGGCCGTGACTCTCCTCTCCCGCGTCAATGGAGGAACCAACTCGGCGCCGGTAAGCCTCTACGCTGACACGTATACCAACTCGCCAGATAGTAACATGGGAAACAGAAGAGGCGCCGATCAAGGATAAGCACTACCGTAAATACGCATCCGGCATTGAGCGAGCCCTTTCACTATTCGAGACGGCCTTGCAGGAATGGGCAGACTACATCTCCTTTTTGAACCGCCTCCTGAAGGTTGGATACCCTCAATTGCATTCTGTATGGTATAGCAAAATGGGACACTGACCACAGTCCCAAGGCACTTCAAGCTCGACACCCCTCCACCACCACCATCCCTTCAAAAGCCATCGTCGCAAAGCGCCTATCACAATGTCTCAATCCCTCCCTGCCGTCGGGTGTGCACCAAAAAACACTCGAGGTCTACAGCTACATATTCGCGATGATAGGCACCGATGGCCTTTCCAAGGACCTGCCCCTATACCTTCCGGGCCTGGCCTCGACTTTCTCATTCGCCTCCCTCTCTGTCCGATCCCCTTTTCTCGATTTACTAGAACACCACTTCCTCGATTTGGATCCCCGATCGCTCCGACCGGCCATGAAATCCGTTGTCCTAGCTCTCTTGCCCGGTCTTGAGGACGAAACGAGCGAAGACTTCGATCGAACACTGCGGTTGATGGACAGTTTCAAGGCCGCAATTCGTCCAGCGGATAGTGAAGAACTGGATGGTCCGCATTCGGCCGGGGACGACTTTTTTTGGCAATGCTTCTTCCTGGCCTCTATCACGGGATCGAGTCGCAGGGCTGGAGCCTTAGCCTACTTGGTGAGAAACCTACCCAAGTTAGGCGAGCCGGTTGTCCATGGAAAATCCGCCAAGAATGGCGTCCAAGACGATGAGAAATCTGCACAGCTTGCGACGATGGTCACTTCACCCGAGCCAGGGCTACTTCTACGCTCGTTTGCTGCCGGCCTTGCGGATGAACAGCTGTTGATTCAACGCGGCTTCCTAGACCTTTTGGTCACTCATCTTCCTCTGCACTCGAAGGTTCTGCAAACGAATGTCAAACCGGGTGATTTGGAACTCCTTCTCCGTGCGGCAGTTGGTGTCGTCATTCGGAGGGATATGAGTCTCAACAGGCGGCTTTGGGCATGGTTCCTCGGCCCGGATCCCGCACCGGGAGAAAGCGAGAGTGGCTTCGACTCGCCCTCTTCGGCAGATCAGCATAATTCATATTTTGCATCCAAAACCAGCTATTTTGAGGATCATGGGCTTCAGCCTCTAACCCGAGCCCTCCTGGCCATGATCAATGCCGACCGGGGATCGAGCCCCGGAGAGAGGGCCAGACCTTATAGAATCTGCCTGTCGTTAATGGATCGATGGGAGATTGGCGGACTTGTTGTCCCCGAAGTATTCCTCCCAATCGTCAATAGTGTTCGGCACTATAGAGACCAAGCGCCTAGGAAAGCCGATTTCAACGAAGTGTTCCGCAGTGCAAGTGTATTCTTTGACGGCGTTGAGAGTGGTCTGATCTATGGCGAGATCGTCAGTCTGCTAGCACAAGCTATAGGCCCAGGAACCTTGGCTGATAACGAGCGTCTCGACAAACTCGATTTGGTCAACTTCGTCTTGGCCAACTTCAACGTTCGCGAGGAAGAGATGATTACTATTCATGCACCGCTTACCGCTTTGTCTATTCTTTGCATGCTCGAAGACATAAGAGAGAAGCAGGAAGCGGGCTCTGTACAGAAGAGCTCACAAAAAATCGCCGAGGAGGCATTGCGCATCACTTTGACCGTCTTAGACCTCATTCCGGACCGGGCATTTCCCCCATCGGCCGCTAACAGCCCTAAAAGAACAATGGAGACCGGTGTCTTGGCATCATTGCCTGCAGTCGAACTCCTGAAACGGATCAAG